TATATGCCCAAATCATCAGTCGCGAATAGGGCACAGAAGGGGTCGGTACTTATGAATGATATTTTTGAATTACCTACGCTCCAAACAAAACTGCATGAATTAAGAGAAAAGGGGCTCGTCTCTAGCCGAAATGGGCAAGACGAAATGAACGTTCAAAAACACCCGAAAAGCCTGACCCAGTGAACTTTAATACTGGCAGACCAATGTGGTTTGTCGGCTCAGACACGGAGCTGCCAGCCTGCCATATTCTATTAAAGTCTCTTCTTAATTGTATTGCGTGTCACTTCAATTTTTTTGTTGATATTTGTACTATTGTTGAAACTGTGTTTATGTAAAGAACACACTTTGAGGTATGAACATTATGATAGTGTTGAGGATGTTGTCAAATGTTGGATGTCCATTCTACATTGCTTGATTCCATCGGTTCAGTTTGCTAGCACTAATCTACACGCACCTGAATGCACAGCTACCAGGATGGTGACTATACTTTACACGGTTGACCAGCTATCGAGACTCCGACACAATATGCCTTGCCTGAGACTGCGACAAGGACCTCTAGTCTGGAGAGGTATACAATAAGCTTAAAATATCTCCGGATAATACCGACAAGATTTCTCCCGCGAACGAGTGCAGTCATGTTGTTTCATTCGAAATAAAGTATTACGTAACCTTTAGAAATCGGCTTTCGTAACCACACGGCTGGTTGAGCAGAGTAGCCTACTGATTCCGCTAGCTGGAGCTGATTGTCTACCCATAAAGGACAAGCTAGAAGTAGTATACATCTGAATCCACCATCCGTCAAGAATAAAACAGTATCCATATCTGACTTCATCATCTCCAATGATTATGATATTGTTGGCCTATCTGAAACGTGGCTAGTAACAGCTATAGTGATCAAGTGTGTCGAATTTTTAAACAATTATTGATTCAAAAACATTATTACGCGTCACTTGTGTAATCAAAAAATACCCGTGATACTCATCCACAAGGACAATTTTGCTCAATAATGCGGATTACACGTGAATAATTTTTATTCGTTTTTATTCAAATTAAACGTTGATAAACACATTGTTGTTTACTCAGAGTTGGTCAGGCATTTCAGCTGTGTGTGAGAAGTACACATATGAGCGCACGTTGTGCGGATTGTTCAAGATGGAGGACGTACGCCAGACTTTGACTGCGTGAGGATTGGCAAAACCATGCAAAACTCATCCCCACTTTAAAAGGAAATTGTTGGAAAGTTTTCGCTCACGACATGTAGCCATCTACATATCGTAAACTATTTTGGTGTGGTGAACATGCAATCACCATGTACAGTTCATGCTAATTGCCCATGTTTTAATTTCCATTGCTCTTATGAGCCCAATAGCCCATGTTCTCTGTGCAGATGCAGCAACGGCACCGATTCCTTTTGTCACTGTTGTGCTGTCGTGTTGCGCTGTAATATTGTGCGTGTACCGTACATCAATCAGATGTGTGTGTTCAAAGAAAATCAATCGGGCAATAAACTGGCCATTTTTGTGCAAATGGAAGGATATGTCGATTGTTGTTATTTTTGTCCTGAAGCAAAATTAAAAATAGAAGAGAAACAAAATAAACAAAAAGGGTAACACATGGTAACACATTTTGTTACAATGTTTTACTCCACAAGGGTAGGGTAGGAATTAACAACATGATGGATACATGAAAATATTACTCCTTTTTCGGGTACATGTTTAAACATGTTTCCGGAGTAGAATTAAGTTTACACCTTTTCTGCGTAAAATGGTTACACAGTACAGGAGTACAATTTGACACAACAGAAGCCTAGTCAAGTTTACCCCCATAACTACCATGTTCCCTTCTTAATGCCAGCGTACGATTTTACCCAATATTGCGTATTTTTTTCGTAGACTTCGTTCCTAGGCAGAGTGCATGGCAGTTCTGGGGAGGAGTTGCCGTAATGTTTAAATGACGACTTTCTGCGGATGTTTTTTTCATCAATTAAGGATGAAGAGTTCACACATTTGAACACACTGATGGCCGCTTTCAGTTATGTGGTGATATCATTTAGATTGGTTGTTGTCTATCGCCCACCTCCATCTAGTGTGAACGGTAAAGAAGAGTGTCTTTTTGCAAGTGTTGTCTAAATCCTCGGAAGTATTTTGCATCGTTCCGAGAGACACTTATAGGCTATGTCGTCAGAGATCGGAACTTCTATCTGGACTCTGATGAGGATACTGACGCTGGCAGGTTGCTTGACTCACTTTAGGAGATGGGTTTTACTCAGCATGTCAAAGGGCCCACTCATCAAAAAGGACACACCCTTGATGTGGTGATTACTAAGGACATTTCTGTTCACAACCAAGATGATGTCGCAGTGATGGACCCTGGGCTGTGTGACCGGAATGGCAATCTATCAAGTGACGATTCTACAACTTCATTTTCAGCACAGTTTTTTTAACCTGGTCACGAACGGAGGGGTTGCTTTCAGGAAACTGCGAGCTATCAATGTGGAGTCTTGTAAGATCAGTATCGATGAAGTTGAGATATTATGTAATGCCGGTCGACCCCTCGTGGATTTGGTGGAGAGCTATGAAACTGAGCTGAGGAACATCGTCGATACACATGCACCTCTCTGTAATCAGACTGAGTATGAGAGTTGCAAGTGAGAACCCGTAGATATCCGACTCGATCTAGGCTTGACAGCATGGAACTATTTTGTTGATGATACACGGGTTAAAGGTGGTTTCATTCCTAATCCTACGGTAAGCAAAAGGGGCACTGATTTTGAGTGCATATAGTTCAAATGTTATGCGTCAGAACACCAACGAGAAGTAACACAAACACTGCTCTATAATTCATCTTGAAGAAAGGAAGAAATGGTTTGATCTCATCTGAAGATTTCCCCAGTCAGCGCACCCGAGGCCAGCTCCCCAACAATGAAGTTACTCCATGATGTCACACGATTTCCCCAGTGATATAAACAGGTGCCGCCATCTTGGTTGCAAAATTCAGCCAGTCGGTATGTATCACGCAAATTATGACGCAGTTCTATTACTGCAGCAGTACATGATCTCAAAAATCTCCAAATGAGCTCCCACATATGTAGAAATAGGCTCAAGCACGCCAGTAACTTTAACATCCTCAATGATGTTGAACGGGAGTGAGACATTTATTCACAAGGTGGAATTTTGAATGAATTTTGAATATATTTTGGAACAAAAACGGGAACGACGTGAACCACGTACAAGCGTACAAGAGTCAAAACGAAGTACCTCAATAACGCAGCTCCCCGTTTTTATTGCATAAAATGTACATTATTAAGTTCGAATTTACAAAGGAGAAAGACTACCATTGTTTGAAAAAAATACTGTATCATCTGTTCATTGGATTTAAGATCATGATTAGGCTTTTCTTTTGCGAAAGTAGTGCTCTGTTGGTCGCAACTCCTCTCCCGAGACGGGTGGTTTGAGGTTAGAGTTTTCTTTCTCTTAGCAGGGCTGCCTTCCCAGGTTTACGAGCCCCTCCTGCCCAGGACAATTCAACCCATAGCTGGAGGGCTCGAGTTTCCAAAGGGCCTCGACTTGTTTGATTGTATCATCTGTTCAGTGAAATATCCACAAATGGCGGACAAGCGAGGTTTGACAGTTGCAGTTGAAACTGTCACACGCGCTGCAGAGGGATTGTAACAATGCGCATGCGTGAGAGTTTAATTTGTGTTTAGAATATAAACGCCCTGCTATTTTACGTGTTTAAATGAAGTTTAAAATGTAACATGTCCTGTTAAGTTTAATAAATTAAACAGAACATTGTATTTATGTTAAAATACATTCATGCTTCATGAGAGTAATCAGACTTTAACATTAGCTGTCTAAAATACGAGGAATAGGAAAAAAAGGGCAGATAGGGCCCAACCAAAGAAGTCTCCGGTTTCTGGTATGCGCGCGCGTCGCCGTAGCCATGCGCGTCGGCAAAATGAAAAAAGTTTTTTTTTTTTAATACAAGATGATGTCTCAAAACCGCCAAACTCACTGGTTTGACTGGAATCCTGCTGCTGCACAATTTTAACGTGTTTTTAGATGGGGTTATGATCGAGAATAAGCTTTATGTGGCCTCTCTGGACTCCCATATATTTGCACTAAGTTTAGTCGGGCACCATTTGCAGTCATCAGCCGACATTTGAAGCAAAAAAAAAAAAAAAAAACAGGTAAAAAAAAAAAAAAAAGCTGCGTCGCCGCACCACTTTTGGGGCAAGCTCCATACCAGAAACCGGAGACTTTTTTTTTTACCTAGAGAAGGCTTTTTTTGCAATAAAATCACGACTAAGAATTTGTTTAAAATTAAATCCTAGTTTAACATGTGTTTTAACCATAGAGCTATATAATAAAGAACAGAGAGCGTACTTCCTACATAGCCCAAATGCATAAGCTTTCTTTTAGTACAAGAATCATTCAATTCACTTATGTACTTTTTAAGTTATGTAACTTTAAACACAACCACCAGTTTTAATGTTCTGTCCACGGATCACAAAAAAGGCGTGCGTTCTTTCTCCAAAACGAAAACAATTCACACACATCCCTATGTGAATTGTTTTTGTTTTGCTGAAAGAACACTTACCTGTTTATGATCCTTGAACAGAACTTTAAACCGGTGGTTGTGTTTAAATTCCGTACCTGGAGAGATTTTTGACACAAATATCAAATTATTAACGGTACTTCATTAGATTCAGTAATAATTAATAATTTACAGCACGTACTCCGACTTTAGCGATTATTGATTGACAGCGATAAAACTAAATTTGCAAGTGAAGCAGACAGACGACAGTATATCAGGGTGTGTTTACATTTTTACTTCCCGCCCCAATTCGACCCACATTTTCAAGAATGCCTAGGCAAATACACTGCGGCGTTCGATACGCCTCCTCATTTTGTGGCTTCCCCTGGTGTAACCCCCCCCCCCCCCCTCGCACCCATTGAGCCACTTCCACAGCGCCATGATCAATTTGCATCAGATCGCAGTTGGTGTGAAAGACGTTTGGGGTCAGTGGAGGAATTTCCTAAAGGCACAGTGTTCAACAAACCTGTTGTTGAAGAGTTGCCAGAGAACAGGGAGTCCTTGAAAAAAAGGGCAGGCATTTTTATTGTACACTCAATAGCTTTTGATGCCGATACAATGTACTAAATGACGCTTGAGGGAATTCAGCGCCATCATGCATGTCGCAGTGTGCCTGGATCGGTTTACGATTAACGTGGCATACAATAGTCAAATAATGGTGACCAAACTCACTTACGCTCGCACCGCTTCCAGGAGAGACTGCGGATCAAGGAGAACCGTTGTGACTTTCCCATGTACGTATAGCTGTTAAGGAGTATTTATTGTTTGTAGAGAATTGTGGACGGACAGCTCTTTGATACATATCAGTGCTTTTGGACAGCCAAATAAATCTGTTTGAAGAGTGCAAGTACAACTTGTTTGTAGTAGGCCTACTGGTAGGCCAAGCTGAATCCGCCATGTTGGTTGTGTACTCTGCCGACATGGAGTCGTCATGAAAAATTAAATACGATTCAAGTGGCCTCGTATATAGAATTATACCGCAATGACCAACTTCCTTGACAAAAAAAAACAAAAACAAAAAAAAACATATACAGACACTTGAAGTAGCGTCCTAGTTCAAAAGTTGTGTGAACATTTTGTGAAAATTGCAGCTTTGGAATTGAGCATGTACGTGAATACTAAATCGAGTGAATTTCCCACGACAAATGTCTGTAGCTAATATACAGGTTCTAAACAGACGATTGTACGCACACCTTTTGATGACATAACAAACAAAACTTACTGGTATACTAAAGGTTGTGCTGTGTTTGTATAATGTAGCCCTACAGGTCCAGAACTACGTGGAATGGGGGGGGGGGGGGGGGGGGGGCTAAACAGTACTTCCAGAACTGTACGTTTTTACAAGATAGTGGATATTTTGCCGGAGGTAATGACGGCAAACTAACGTTTACGAAAGGTTTGCCGGCGGCAATCCATATCAATAGAGGGCGCTGTTTTTTTTAAAGATAGGGCTGAATTATAAGATGTATTAAATTCCCATCAAAAGTTGTGTAGCACGTTTGGTGTAGTGGTTAAGCAAAGGCTTTGGTGAGCGGGATGACTCGGGTTCGATCCCGATTCCCGCCACATTTTAAAGTTTTTTTTTCCCATCCCCAAATAAATAAGAATATTCTTCTTTTATTATTTTAACATGTCTCAAACATTTTATTGCAGAGTATTACATTTTCTTTTTTAGATTTGTGGCTCTGGGGGATTTTTTTTAAAAGGGAAATAAAGTACGAAATTATAAAATGGTCTGAATCCCATCTTGTGAATACGAGGTTACAGCGATAATATTGGCATGGAGCCCGACTAAAATTACAAAAAAAACAGTAACTGCGCATGTTCAGTGCATAGCAGAACATTCTCATTTTTTTTCAAACCTCCAAACTCTCCTGTCCCCAAATATCCGGCCTCAATATTTCACAAATCTTATCTTGATGTGGATTGGTACCTCTAAGGTAGGTTGAAATCCCTCAAATGTCAAACACAAATGTGATATTCACCAGAATTTCATTGGAGTCTCGCACTCGGCCGTCTCCCATCGTTTTCCGTCAACTGAGGGCGCTTTAATTATCTTGACCAACTATAGCGCGGCTTTCATTCAAGTGTCTCCGTGCCTCGCGCGATGACTCCAATGATCTTCGTGAACCAAATTCCGGTAAATTTCACATTTTTGTTTGACATTTGAGGGATTTCAACCCACCCTAGAGGCACCAATCTACATCAAGATAATACTTGCGAAATATTGAGGCCGAACATTTCATGACAAGAATGTTTGGAGGTTTGAAAAAAAAAAAAAATGTTCTGCTACAGCAACTTCAATTGGTCAAAGGTTTGTAAACAAATCCTTGCAGTTCTGGAAGTAGCTGAACAGTAGGTAATCTTAATAATAATAATAATAATGGAGACTTGTAATTCGCCATGGTTTGGAAAGAATTCCATATATGGACGTCACTTGACGCCCTGTTTACAAACCCTATGAGACTGGTCTGAACAATTCTGTGTTTTCTCACTGAATGCCTTAATATTTTCCCTGCTAATTTTGACTTTTTAGGACTTGTTATTGCTTAATTATGGCCGATTTGTCATTGCAGGGAAAAGTTAGTGACGTCCGTTTATGGAATTCTTTCCCATGTCTGTCACATAGTAACACTCCTGGTGCTACTCATTGGACCAATGAAACATTCCAAATACCATCTCAGCTCCCCGGGGAGTATACAGCTCGATGCTGCCATTTCGGCGTAAAGCAGCTAAAATCGACCACAATAATCATCTCAGCCCCCACAAGTAGACCTTCACATGTTGGCCTTCAAGTTGAAACATTGAAGGGAAGCACTGTTTCATCTTTTAATATCCTGTACGTGAGGTTAATAGAGTTTAAAGAATAAGCCACAGTTCCCAATTGAATCAACCCAATGAAAGCTTATTCGTTATTATATTTTCTGCTAATTTAGAAACAATTATGTTTTTGGCCTTCCTATGTTATTTGTTGTTTTTTTTTTGGTTTTTTTTTTACATCAGAGCCATGGAAAGCAAGAGTGAACTTAACGCTGTGCCATCGATAGAATATGAACATTCAGGTGAAGAGGCTCCGCGCGACAACGCCCAGCTCACGTCGTCTTTGGCCAATCAGGACAAAGCAGACCAAGACAATGACAACACCGACAAAAGCCCCAAGGAGAAACCCGCTCCAACCAAATTCACCTTCAACCAGAAAGCCACATTTGCCGGCGCTGTGCTGGCCTCACTGGCAAGTTCGATGTCTTTTTCCATCATGGCCGTTTTCTTCCCCATCGAGGTGAGTACCCAACGGGCCATAGGGCTTATGTCTTTTTTTTCCTTTCTTTTTTTGGAGCGAATTAGGGCGCTGTAAATGACGCGATTTTGAGGGGTACAAAATCTCTTGACGTACATAACTAACAATATCAACATTTGTACAGTATTAAATTATTTAAAACATTTTTTGACATGGAAAACTACTGAAGCTGGTTTTCCAGAAGTTATTAAAAGAAGTTTGGAACCATATACACTGTGTACATGTAAAAATTAATAGTAAAAGTGGAACAGTGCTCACCGGATACGTTGTTGTACCCGAGCTTTCGGACATCCGTCCTACTAATCCGGTAAGGTCGAAAAAAAAAGGTATGCTTCCGATTGCATGGCATTCGAAAATAGGGTAGGAAGGTCGTTTTTTTAATTATTTTATTCGCCAATGTTTTTTGTGTACGATCATATGAAGGTGTCTGCATTTAGTCAAGGGTAAAAGGTAAAAAATGATGTTTTTTTTTTTCTTCTAATTTGTACATAAAAAAAATAGTGTACGGGCTCTGAGAATAGGGTACTAGGTAAGGAAACCGTAAGCAGAACTATTTTGTTTTGGCCTGAGCACTGTTCCACAATTACTTTTATTTTTTCCATGCTCTACGCTGCATACCTACAAGTGTTCTACACTGTGTACATCTTACAGTTAAAAAAAAAAAAGCTTTAAGATTGGACGCATTTTAACGCACCCTCCCCCTCCCCTAAACAAAAATAAAGCAATAAACACGTTTGTTCCTCGTAGGCTGGCCATATGACCTTCCTGACCGCCAAAGAAGTTCGTTCGGTGTCTGTAGAATTAAATGAGGTCATTCTGCTGTTGAAAAAGTCTTCACTTGTCACAAACGGCTATCTGGAAGCTTCGATTTTAGTATTCATGTATTAAACTCGCGTGTGAGTAGCTGGCGAGGCAGATTTACCATAAATGTCAGCGACATGATGCTCGGTCTAAGAGGTTTGTTTTCGGCAGAGTTCAAGTGCAGATTTTTACTCGTCAGGTGCCAAAACAAAAAAAAACTAACAAAACCTTCAATAGTTTTTGACAAATGGCACCAGAGCAGGGGAGCACCCCATTAAAACTTTGTTCTATTCGCGCAACTTTTACCCCCACCTTCCGTGAGTTTCAGGTTTCAGGTTGATTATTTTCCACAGTATTAAAACAATAATTGCAAGCAGCTCTGCAACATCTTTCAAATACAAATATACAATTTTACCAAGTACATATTATAACAAACTAGATGCAAACAAGTTTTAAGAAATCTAGACGCGAAATGATTGTGATGTAGATTGATATTGCAGAGGAATCCATTTGACGAGCCCCATGTTTACATGCATGTACATTGAGACAAGAATAAACGAATATGGAACCATAGGTCGACCCGTGGCTGAGTCACCAATAAACACAATACATGTACAGGGTGTATAAAAAAGAAAACCCACATGTAAATGTAACTTTATAAGAAAATCTAGTAAGTCATTTCAATCAATGAAGTTAATACATCTTGTAAAAGATCAATGTATTCTATTTCCACTGATACCCTTATTGTGTGTGTGTGGCCACGGACGTCTGAGCAGTCGTTGCTATTTTGTCAAGGGTCAAAACCTGTACTGGGCCAAGTTTTACCTGGCAAAGATTGCTGGCTGTTTTGTTATGCACAGGTTTTTATTCTTGTCAATGACTCGACTTGAGTCCGACTCGAGTCACAATTTTTGGTGACTCGACTCGACTCCCTTAGGGCAAATGACTCGACTCGACTCGAGTCACTGCGAGCAAATGACTCGACTTGATTCGAATCCCTCGTCAGAATGACTCGACTCGAGGAATGAGACTCGAGTCCCAAAAATAAAAGCAAAAGTTTGCGAAACATATTTGCAATGACTTACGCCGGTGCCAGTTTTTGTTCACGTCACGTTAGAATGTTCGCGAATAATTCATACATATACATACGTGGTTTGATCAGTGTCCCCATCAGTTGAATGACGATCAGTTGGCTCGTTATATTTTCATTAAAACCCCCTAGGCCTTTTTGCTAGGATGTAGCCTCAATCCTGCAAAATCCTCCAATTGGCCTCATGGAAAAATAGCATATAGCCTCAATCCTGCAAATTCCTCCATTATTTCTTGAATATGGTCCATGGAGGGGTGACCACTGCCTGAATCCTGCAAAATCCTCCGGCTATGTCTGTCAATAGGTTGAGGCAGAGGAAGTGACATCTTGGAGCAGTGCGGAGGATTTCAAGTATAATCAAGGACTAAATTTATGCACGGCTGACCATAAACAACACAAGGTCCGGCCCAAGACCTTGACACAGTGCATACTCCGAAATCAGTAACACACTTTTGCCATGTAACCTCAATCCTGCAAATTCCTCCAATTTGCAAAAAGGATCTTGGAGGATTCAGGGCGGTTAGGGTTAAGAGGCAAATGTGGTGTCGCCACATGTAGTAGCCCGAATGTAAAATTTAAAAAGCCAAACAAATGACTTTCTCTCTTGTGTTTATTTATTGTATAGTGCTCAAATATTTGTGACTCGAATTGACTCGAGCTAAATACTTGACTTGACTGGACTCGACTCGACTGTCTTGACCTAATGACTCGACTCGACTCGAGTCACAGAAATCAGTCACTCATTACAACTCTGCTTCAACAACGAGAGTGGTTAAATCCCTTTTAATAAAAAATGAATACATTGTTTGAAAGAAAAGGATGTCTTCTTTCTCTTTGAATTAAGCCGTGCTACACGTAGACTTGGTGCCAAGTCGGCTATTGTTTAAGTACGTACGGTACAGGTTACTGGTCCACGCACGCAAAATATCACTGCAATGCGCGTAGCCTGGTTCCCAGACCAAATAATGCTGACTAATGATGTTCAATAAAACCGACTTGGCGAAAACGTTTTCTATTTTGTACACAACATATGAGAGTATTTTGAATCGCTAGCGAATTCTATGCAAGCACTCTGATTGGTTCAGATTCTAGCGTGCATTCTAGGCCGCTACGGAAGGTCATTCTTATTAATTCGAGGGTTTGTACTTTGTGTTGTGTAACATTACAAAACTCATTATAGGGCATACACGACTCAAATAAATCAAGTATATCACAATGATACATTTTATTTCTATACACAATTGACCAAGCTGAGGGATTTGGCCGTTCAAACGTCGCCCTATCTGCAAACACGTCCCTGACGTATTGAGAAGAACTCCTCATGTAACGGAATGAATAGGTCCCCATTTGCTTAGCGGTGCGTGATTGGATCTCACCGCAAAAATGCACTGCATATGTATTGCGCTGCTTGCATATACGAATAACGGTGCGAGAACATAATCGTCAAGTCGTTAGATTTGTCGCAACCCGCCCGATTACGAACTAGTCTGATACCAGCCGCGCCGATGGAGTTCGCCTGAAGTTCACAGACTTAATACTACTATCTAACAACTTGTCGTCAAGTCTATGCTACACGCTGAATACCAGTTGGCCCAGTCCATGTTTTGACCCAGAATAACCACAAATGCTCAGTCGTCCGTGGCAACAGACATACAATCAAGGTATCATTTGAAAGAGGACACTTTGGCGTTTCACATGATACATATTTGATTTGGAAATGTTTATTAGATTTGTAATAATTTACATTAACATTTGAGTTTCCTTTTTTTTTCTCTCGATAACGTGTAATAGTATGTCTCAACGCGCATGCATGTTTCCAAAGAAAAAAAAGTACAATTAACATTTATACAAGACTGTGGACTAGCACAAACAATGGACGAAGACTTTAAAACTGCAGCTACAGAATGGTCCTATCAGGTCTGCGGACAAACAGGTTGGAATGTAGAACGCTCATTAACAATAAGATTCCAATAAAACAGATTTAAAAACTCGTTTGAAACAAGAACTATATTGGAAGCTTTAAGTTGATCATTAATAAGCATGTTTCAAAGCATTGATCCCTCATGTTCGATAGTTTTATGAGCTAGAGAAGGAAGGGTGTAAGGACTGTGGAAATTTGAAGATTGACGGGTAAAACGGGAATGTATATTTGAATTGAGAGAAACAAATCAAATTGATTGAAGAAGTTATTTTTTACAAGCAAGCTGATATCATGAGGGACCCAAGCTGATGACGATAGATGTCCTTGACTTTTACAGAAAAAGTTGATCTGCTTTAGAAAAAGTTGATCTGCATGTGAATTGAATTCAGGAAAAACGTATTATTGGAAGACAGACGAGGAGCCATGGGGGGGGGGGTCAAACCCCCAGCTCTGTAACATTTTGTTTTCCTCTCTAAAGTTCGTGCAAAAAAATGCGAACCTCCATCCCCCTGCTCTGTAATGATGTCCCTTTGCACAAACTACCGACAGAGCCAGCTTGGTTTAGGGGGTATATGTACACTATTATGTGATATGGTGTTAATAATCGTCGGATTTGAACAGCGCCCCCATTGAAAGTATGCTACGAACCCCCCCCCACCACCCCCACCCCCCAACGTCACCCCCGCCCATCCCCCATCCTCCCATCCCCCCCCCCCCTCCATATTGACTTTCGGAGGCCAAGTGTCCGGAGAAAAAAAAAACCCTGTCTATATTTAAGGGTTTTTTGGCGGTGAAACCCCCACCCCCCGCGAAAATTCCAGGATCCGCCCCTGGAAGAGCACGTTTATGTAAGAGGAGAAGTGCGTTCAGATTAGTAACAGAACTAGCTCCCCATGCAAGTATCCCATAGTTTAGATAACAATTAGTAACGAAACTAGTTCACCATGCAAGTATCCAATAGCTCAGATAACAATTAGTAACAAAACTAGCCCCCCCCCCCCATGCAAGCATCCCATAGTTCAGATAACAACTAGTAACAGAACTACTTCCCCATGTACGTATCCCATAGTTCAGATAACATTTAGTAAAAAGAACTAGCTCCCCATGCAAGTATCCCATAGTTTTAATAATAATTAGTAACGGAACTCCCTCACCATGCAAGTATTCCGTTGTTTAGATAACATACAACCAGTGTATTGTAAAGTGAATTAAAGAACCGGGCCAGGAAAACAGTTTAATCATGTTAATCACACTAATATATTTCTAGCAATCTTTTTACAGTCACAATCAACATGACAATTCAATGTGTTAGTCCGCAGTTGTAAAACAGTTCCAAAAACTTACAGCAATCTGTTGTTGTTATGACGGAGCCATTAATCTTGACAGGACTTGGAATGTCACTGGCTGAATTGGTACTGAACAGCATGTAATTAGTTTTAGCAATATTAAGTTGGATACAGCTAATTGGTCGTTTATGGCGAGCAAATTTTACATTTAATACAGAAACAGAGATACGTTTTAACAGAAGTATCTCCATCTCAAATAGAGATATCTCTATTTCAAATATAGTGATATCTTTATTCAAATATAGTTGATAATTGTCACGCAAACGGTGCAAGATCCGCCATTTTAGGCGTGCTCGATTTATCGTACAGTTCATAAATGCGTAACGTGCATGTTCTGCGGTATTTGTCACGGTCTGTACCCGATTTTCTTCTCACAAAAATCTTTGGTAAATGTTTGGGTTTCAAACAACTTCGAGAGTTGTGAGTATTTTTTTCTGAATTTCGGAAGTGGGTTTATTTATTAGAGGTCAAATATGGCGGACGTATTGGTAGCCACAGACCTGTGACTGTACGTGAAATACCTCAATAAACTTGCAGAATAAACTCAGTTTTAAACGTCGGCTCAAAGAGGACAACCTTGTCACACACACAAGTCCACCCTCTCTTCCACCCTTGGATCCGTCGTTTTTGCTCTATAATTTACTTTATCTAAATACACTTTTTTTCAAAAATACTTACTGAAAACTATATAGATAAAATGTAATTACTCCACATCTTAAATATACATCTCGGTATTCATTTTTTTTTTCCTGCACCGTTTACATGCATTTTGATTTTCGAGATCCCCGAAATTTTGTCCTGAAATCCCAAAGAAAACCTGCCTTTAATTATTATTAATGTATTTTTTTTTTCGTTTTACCTTTAACAGGCAAAGGCGAAAGGGATGTCACAGACTTTAATTGGACTGGTGTTCACCTCGTTCGCCTTCTCTTCAGGAATTGGATCAGTGATCTGGGGCAAAATTGTAGGTTTTCATCATGACAAATATTTTTTTTTTTAATCGTCAAAAGGGGTTCTTCCACTCCTTTTCTTTATGCAGCGCAGCTCACGCTGAATGTACATGTTATTGATTAAAATATTGCTCAGTTCAACAAGATTCTGCATAATTTAAATGACCCTTGAGGATTAGAGTTCAACGTACGTTTAAACTGGAGTGGTACCGTTGCAGTGCAGTGCTGTGCAGATGAATTGTGTCAATAATACCAGGATGTAAAGCGTCATCTTCTGACCACATGCATTCAACCAGTTTCCTCTGAGAAGCCATTACTGAATAATAACGGTTTTCCATTTAGGCTACAATATGAATGTTGTGACCTGTCAGCTACTTAATTAGCTTTAACCAAAATATTCAATCACTGTTTATATTTTTCGAATTTTTTTTTGTTTGGCACAAACGAGCCTACTTTGTTTTGTTATTTTTCTTTCTTAGATTCCTGTTCTTGGCGCTCGGTTTGTATTTCTGGCAGGAGCGTTTGTCACAGGTGGATGCAATGTCTTGTTTGGGTGAGCAATCTCTTGGTCGAAGGTCCATGCAGTATACTCGTTCTAATACAATCCTTGAAAGTGCACCTATTTGTGTCTCATGTAATCTTTTCTATTTCAGTTTTAATTTGCTATATGCCAGGGCATTTTGGTGGGGGCTAAAGAGTTTTAAGAGAAGTATAACGTTGCGCAAAATGTGTTCCATCAAGAAATTTATCGCGTCTTTTTGTGTTTTTTTTGTTGCTAGATTAGTACAAAATGTAATTTCCCTCTTTCAATAATAGACCGATCTCCTAAGCCCTGCACAATGGTACTTTTGCCAATGCCTTGAACAAAAATCCGACATGCGTGATCGCGTATGACGCCCTCAGCTATGTGGCGTTCGGTGGGTGCACGTGTGGTAGCCAGCAAGGGTAATGGGCGTGGCTTAACCCTAAAGGGACCGGGGATTTCGACCATCTCTCAGCCGGGAAGGGGATTCCCCCCCCCCCCCCCCCCCCTTCTGATCTCGGCCATCGAATGACGAAAAAATTGAAACTCATAGGGTATGTCAAATGGTTTTGGAATTATGGCTAATTAATTATTCATATGTACGAATGGTAGTTGTGCTCTGTGTACACGATGTGTACATGTACATATGGGAAAGTTCAGTTTCATCCGTTAGGCCAAAAAAAAAAAGTCTCCGGTTTCTGGTATGCGCGCGCGTCGCTGTAGCCATGCGCGTCGGCAAAATGAAAAAGTTTTTTTTTTCAATGAAAGATGATGTCTCAAAACCGCCGAACTCACTGGTTTGACTGGAATTCTGCTGCTGCACAATTTTAACGTGTTTTTAGATGGAGTTATGGTCGAGAATAAGCTTTATGTGGCCTCTCTGGACTCCCAATCCCATATAGGCCTATTTGTACTAAGTTTAGTCGCGCACCATTTGTAGTCATCACACGGCATTTGAAGCAAAAAAGTCAGAAAAAAAAAGCCGCGTCGCCGCACCACTTTTTGGGCAAGCTTCATACCAGAAACCGGAGACTTTTTTTTTTGGCCTTATCACTAGATGCGCAAGGCTCGAGGCTAAAAAGTCATAACAGCTCGTGTCGCGAAAAAAAAAAATTCAAGGCTATCGCGGAAAAAAAGGGAGGGGGGGGGGGAATTCCGCCCCAGCCCTTTTAGGGTTAAAGGATCGGGCCATTGTTACACCACCCATACATTTTCTATCAACCTCTTCCATCAAAGATAAGCGTTTTGGCGTTTCGCGCTAACAACAAAAAGAACCCATTGAAGCTGCATGTGGGTGTTTGTGTTTCAGTAATGCTCTTCAAAATATTGACACCATAATAGTTACAACATCTTGGGCGCCCTTTCTTGCGAATTGTATCATCTATGGCTACTTTGGTTTACAGATTTCTTGCTGACATGCCGACAAACGAAACTTTCACCGTGTTCAGCTTCGTTATTCGGCTCTTGGAGGGGTTAGGCTCGTCGGCCACATTTACTGCGTCATCAGCCATAGTGTCACTTTCTTTTCCTGACAACGTCGGCACGGCAGTGGTAAATCATTTCATTGGAAAAAAAATGGTCAGATCTGTGTGTGACTAGTAGTACATGTACATTGTTCCTTATGGGGATAGAAAACACTATAAAACTATGAACAATATAATGAAGGCTTTAGAAATAATATCTTCCCCGTAAGGGAAACGCCATGGAGTTTGAAATTCCAATAGAACTAGGAACTAAGGAGAGCAAAAGAAAATAACAAATGTCTTCTCTACAACAATGTAAGGCTGTGTGATGTGGTGCTAGATGAGGGTAAAAACGGTGTGACAATTGACAAACTCAGATTGAGTGACTAGTGTAAGGTAAATGTGACATGAGTGCGAAATCAAATCTCACACCAGTCTAACACCGAGTGTCCATGTGCCCTGGCCTACACCGCGACATGGGGAAGTTTTTATTGTATTGTTGAGCAAACTAGGACCGACTTGTGGGCACTTTCTGCTGTCCCCACAATACTGTGTTTTTAAGTTTGCTTCTGCATTCAAGAGGGGACGTTGAAAAAGAGGACAAAAGGGTCCACAATTCCCGAAGGTCCACAATTGACGATCCTTTACAAAACATATGAAGGTCTTCCTAAAAAGTAAGTAAAGAAAAAAGCGGGACAAAAGGGTGTCAACGATTGCTGTTAAATACTCACTTGGATGCAGGTTATCGGATACGACTGAGGACATGGGACGACGGGGTGTGTGCGATAACAATAGGCTTAACGCTGCCCGATCGAGGACCTGGGCACTAGTCCTCGGGATAATTTCATGAACAAACCCAATGGGAGCTGTCAAGAAAAAAATAGTGTGAAAAAAAGGGGAACAAAGAAAAAAAGGGACAGGTCCTTAATGAGTATAGAAAAAACACGACTGTCTGTGTGTGTGTGTGTGTGGTATAAATGAGATGCGTAAGACGAGATGTGTGGGCACGGTGAGTGAGGTTGATCTGGTACACGGTACCCTCTGAGGACATCTGCACAATAGGTAACACAATATTGTATACGTCTGCACAGAGCAATTTCTATATGTGAAAACCTCTCCACAGGGTTATCACAAATGATTTATGGATTTTACTCAAAAACAAGGAATTTCCAAGGTGTGTTGATGCGTCGCAAATTGAAGTATTTTATGTAAGGATTATTTAGTCCTAATTTCAGCCCAGAAAATTAATTCTGGTTTAAATAAGAGCATTTTGAAAGTACGCTTTCAAACTCGAAAACTTTAGTACCTGAGAACAAAGAAATGACTCCACAAGGATACACATATTTTCAGTATGGGTGATGTGACACGCGTGCTTTTGTATGGCTTCACGATCGAGGATAGACACAAATGAAGAACATGCATGGAGAGTGATATTACATGGGCAAAGGGAACACAAAGCATTGTCCTCGAGAGTATAGAAATTCACGAATGGGTGTGTTTGTAAACCCCGGCAAAAGTGGACTAGGGACAAAGGGTCCACTTTTGACCGATAGTCAACGATTAAAATTCGTGTACATAACAATGAGATCTGATGCTAAAAGGTTGTAAAAAAAAATAAAGGAATGAGGATTAGGGACAATAGGGGGTCCTCGATTGCCGGTGTTTAAAAAAATGGGTGTGTTGTCGGTGTTATATGCGTTTGAAATCGGTATAGCGTTGGTGTGTGATCCGTGCAACATCGGAGTTGGTTTAGTGTATGAGATTGGTGTGACTAAATCAGTTAAATCACGGCGACAGATTAAGTGTGAGATCAGATTGAACATGTAGTGTAAGATCAGTGTTAGATCATTTTATAAGATTGGTGTGACGTCGCTGAATTATTCACATGTCTGTAAACATGTTTCCAAACAGAGCTTGGTCGAGATGACATCAACGTTGTCATATGCAATCGGACCAGCGATTGGTGGTCTGCTTTATGACGTAAGTACAACGCTCCTTATTAAAAATCAAAATCGGAGGTGGGCAAACCCTTGAGTCGATTATTTTGTTTTCATTTAAATATTGATATATTTTTTTTTCATGGGACGCCATTTCCAGGCTACAAAAGATAAAAAGCAGATCTCGGTTATTGACTCGATTAAATGAACTGCTACAGTGTTAACAATAAAGGTTGTTATGTAAAGGAAACATTTACATGTATACTGTTTAATTATTACAGCGCTAAATCGCTCAGATGTATTTTAGTTTATCGTCCAGCAATATAAGGTCAATGAGGCACCCGTTATCTGTAATGCAATTATGAAACACCTGTTGGTCTGGTTGAGCTATTGTGTCTCAGACGATCTAAAATAAATACATTGCTGGAGACACATGCATTTTTTCCCCTTTTCTTTTTGGTTCTAGGCTGGCGGCTTCAGGCTTCCGTTCTTTGTTCTGGGCGGGTTCGTTCTAGTAATCGATGGTGTCAATTATTTCGTGTTGCCTCAGCAGGGTAAGTTCACCCAAAATCCAATGGTTTCGCCCCAATTTGATAAACCTCTTTCAAAAAGTGAGTGCGACCAAACATTTTCGTATAAGAACTTGGATAGGCCGAAATTCACTGAAATTGACAGTTTAAAATAAGTTCTATATTTCTTTTCCTTGTTTCGTCAGGAACAAAGAAAAAGGAATCTGGTCCAATGGCTCGAGTTTTGAGCATACCGGGCATTTGGGTGTGCTGGCTGGCTGTTTTTGTGGCAGCAATAGCCTCAGCATCAATCGACCCAACTGTGTCGATTCATTTGAAAGAGGTACGTTCCGATGGTAACCACATTGCACGAGCATGCATGACGCATATGCATAATAGCAACTGATGTCTTACATGTCATCGTTTTATAAATCGATATGCATTTTATACAATATACATGTATAAATAATGCTTTAATTAACATAACCACTTGGACGAGTGGGTATGTTAATGCATCATTATTTAGTGCACTTAGCAGCTTTCTTACCGTTGACACATTTTTATTTTTTAGTTTTGGTAATTCACGCCATTTTTCATTTTCTCTACAGCTTGATTTCACAGTGTTGCAGATCAGCTTACTCTTTCTTGGTTTCGGTACGGTTGGCGGGATTTTCGGCGTGGTTTGGGGAACTGTTGCAGACGCAAAGGTACGTAGCGCAAGGGCGGGCATACATAGATGTGGGGGCATACATAGATGTGGGGGCGTCCTATGCTCATAACCTCTCTCAGAGATGGTCAATTTACAGTTGGCTCTTTCCCTTTGGAATGTGACGTCATTAACTTTAATTCAAATTTAACGGCAAGGATAGATGATAAATGTTAGGAAAACGTAATAATTATAAGTTACAATTCTAAAATAAACACAACAAAGCCAAAACTCAAAATCACAGTCATGTTTCTACAAAGTTTACAGACGTAATTCCATAATTAGCGCGATACAAAACGTAGGTATGCACAAGCAGTATACACTGTATACGAAAGTAAGTTAACATATTAACATGCAGTAGCCTACAATTACAAACCAATCTTCATTCAGACAAAGGTACCGAACTCGTTTAATTTTATTTTGGTCCTCGAGAAAAAGTTGATTGTTTGGGTTTCAGAAAGCCACACGAATTATGATTGTCATCGGAGCATTTGCCAGCGCAGTTTTCTTCCTATTACTCGGACCGTCGCCACTGCTGAACATACCCTCGTAAGTTTAATCAGTAGTTACGGCATCTCCTTTAGCCTTTAGAAATTATGGAGGGTACTCCAAGAGGGGCTATTCGATTTTCGTAAATTTAGGTGAATATATAAAAGTTTAAACAAACCCAACAGCGCCTTTCTAAGAAAAAAAAAACGTTACATACTGCTTTTATTATCTTTCACAATTAACTTAGAGGGAAACGTTCCATAACCGAATCGCACATTTACTCAATATGTATAAATAATTATGAACAAAACATCTAATTGATCAGTTCAAAAATGGCAACATAGCTGTAATCCATACCTGGGCATGATATGAAGGGACTCCGAAGACACATTTCGCGTTTTTCCTCCAAACTTTAACCAAAGATGTTTTTTATTCTACAGCACCAAGCTGCTTGCTATCCTGGTTTTCCTCACTGGCCCCGCAATGACCAGTTTGGTCGTTGTGCCGACGTTCGTTGACATGTTCGGCTCTGCAGCGTAAGTCCAACTGATCTCTATAAACGTGGATAGTCTATTGGCTGTTAGAATGAAGTCACCGTCCTCCATGTACCTCTCTCATGAAATAATTTTCAGTCTTATAATTCTGGATTGTAGGGGGAAAAAAACTTATATACACGTGATACTTGTAATGAAAACACTCGCGCAGTTTTAAGATAGCGCCCGCATTTGGTGCATGATATTCGTTACAGAAGTTTAAAGAGGTTGTGGAATGCTCGAAGACATTTCCGTCATTTTTCGGGTATTTGTAGCCTAAGGTGTGATGAAATAAAAACGACTATTGTTTCTGTCATAAAATGAGTGCCAAAGGTACTTTTGAGAGCTATTTTTCAAGTCCTGTCATGCCCGTTTCGACCCGAACGTGCAATTTGTGTAAAAGTCGTCGTTGCGGGCAGCAAACAAAACACAGTAAATCGTGCCGTAATAAACAGGACTCCCGGAGCAGACTAGCATAAACGAGTCCTGTTTATTACGGCACGATTTGCTGTGTTTTGTTGGCTGCCCGCAACGACGACTTTTACACAAATTGCACGTTCGGGTCGAAACAGGACCTGAAAAATAGCTCTCAAAAGTACCCTTTGTACTCATTTCATGACAGAAACAATAGTCGTTTTTATTTCATCACACCTTAGGCTACATATACCCCAAAAATGACGGAAATGTCTTCGAGCATTCCACAACCTCTTTAATAGGGTATCCGTGCTTTCACTAGAATAGCATGCATGGTGTATATATGTCTTGCTGCTGACGTAAGTACGCGTGGTGTATTTGATATAATAACAGATTTTGTGGGATGCAAGCCCGGAAGTAAATGTCATCAGAAAAAAAAAACATATCCAGTAAACAAATCGTCACAACGTCCAGTCATATGACACGACAGCAGCTAAATTTAATGGAAAACTGGGGACGAATTTCAGAGTGAAAACTTTGAAGACAATGTGATTTTGGAGAGACAAACAAAATCGAAATTAGGCAGGCCGAAGGTCGAACCTCCAAATTGTTTGGGGTCGGATTTCTTAAATACATACCGAGCATTTGTGAATATGCAAGGTAATCTTATCGAGGTAGTTTGTAATTAATTTACTTCAACAGATGGTATGGTATTCCTATCGACATCGGGTTGACGTCTGTACTATCTGGCCTCTGGATGGGTGGATTTGCATTCGGGTACGGTTGTTGATTGTTTTCTTCAGATAATCCGGATAATCCTAATGCTGCTGCCCCCTTTTTTTCTGTTAATGTTGTTGTTGTGGTGGTTGCTGCTCATAGCGACTTCCCTGTTGATTTACTAACTGATACTGTTGCTGCTTTTTACTGTCGCTGTAGCTGATACTGTCGATGATAATTGTAATGTTGCTGCCGTACCTGAAGCTATACATACTCCGATGTACTTTTCCCTTTCACATGCAAAAGTTTCTCATTATATTGGACAGGTCTTTTGTAGGGCCCATGGTCGGGAGTGCTCTGACGGAAGCCTATGGATTTGGTTACGCGACTACCTTCATTGCTGGCCTCTTTGTCTTTGTCATGATCGTGGTGACTCTGTTTGGCGCGTGGGAGTATCGCTGTGGCAAAGGGTGAGTACACTGTAATAAAATTAGCGCCCTCATTGCCGCATAGTTAAATATGGAGTGCATTCTTGACATTAAAATCCAAAATAGAGATATCTATATTAGCAATAGATACATTTCTATTAATAATAGAGATATATATTTCCTCAATTAATAGAGATATCTCTATTATTAATACAAATTTCTGTATTGCTAATAGAGATATCTCTATTAGTAAATGAGATATCTCTATTGCTAATAGAGCTATGTTTTAAATTAATAGAAATATCTCTATTATAAATACAGGTATCTCTATTTCCTGTCATAATAGAGATATCCCTATTTTTGGATTAAATGTCAAGAATGCACGCTGTAGTCCACACAACATATATGAACGACTGGCTAATGAACGATTAAGTCTTGATTGAGTCGCTATGTACATTATTATTTATTAAGTTACTTAAGACTTAATACTCCTCAAGTTAACTGAGAAATTAAAAAAAATAAATAACTTGTCATTGGAATATTTTGAGGCAAAAATATGTAATTAGGGTCCAAGTGCAACCTCTGTGGTCCCTTTTGATGATACCAACGTTACAATAAAGTGAGGCTGTATTGGTCTCCTTTGTCAGATATATTTAAATCTAAAAGTATTTTGACTGGCAGTGGCGGCGCTACGGGGTATTGGAGGGCATTTTTTTTTGGCCCCTCCCCAAATTATTTTGAATGAAAGTTTTGCATAGCCACTTCAAGATCTAAAATGAGAAAACCTAATTAATAAGCGTTCTTCCCGTAAAACAAAAAAAAAACAAATGTATACCTTTCAAATTAAGGATTTTTCAACACATTCACAGTTTAAAACGTTTGTCCACGGATCGTGTTTCAGGTGCGTAGTATTTCAGTAAAATGACACCATGTCGAATAATGAAAACGATATCAGAATAATTCCGTGAGTCTCCGGGTAGCCGGCAGTAGAAGGCAGTGCGAGACTATAAACTCTTGACACTATAAACAAAGCTTCTTGATTTATGGTGGAATCAGGCGGTTTTAAATAGAGATTGGGCCAATTATCATGGCTATGAGAGTGTTCTGATTTTGCTTTACATGGTAATTGTCTTCGCTTTGCTGAAATATCACTTACCTTTATTGTGATCCGTGTCATGAAACTGTGATTGTGTTTAATATTCCATAACAGAATACTGGAAAAGTTCATGAGTGATTTGAATGATCATATTACTATTACTAAGTTTATTACTTGAGCTTAATAGATCTTGCAAACCTTTCTTCTAAAAAAATCATTTTACTTTTCCTTCACTTTTACTCAATCTGTACAACCGGTAAGCATATTATGTTCCATATTTTGTGAACTTACAGGAGACGGGTCCCGAGATCACGGCTTGAGATGGAGGCTAACACAACTAACGAGGAACAGAAGCCACTTATTTCAAGTGATGTGTAATGTGCGTTGCTGAATACTTCCTTCAAGTCACCGGTTGCTGGTCCCAGAGGGTCCTGTGCATCTTTTTCACTGATTGATTGACTGACTGACTTACAGACAATTTCTGTCACTTGTGAAATTAGACTTGCTTCAGCCTCCACCTTTACCAACAACTCGACTCGAATTAATGACTAAGTTATAGGACCCTCAGACCAAATTCGTCTGGGACCAGCTTTAAAATCCTCCAATGAGTGACATTAATATTCAACGTAAATACCGTTCACGTTAAAAGAAATAGTTTTACCGGGTTTCTAGTATAACTACGAAGTCCACTGTGCTTCTACTACTTCAGTTATTCATACAAACTATCACTCCCTGTGGCAGTTTACCAAGCCTAGCCACGTACAATCACCCGATCTAATTACTATCCCCCTCACTAAGCCTGGGTCTGCAGGGACGTAGGAGGGTCATTTCTGAAATTTCACAATTCTGGAAAAGGGCACTTGCACATCCGTACTGAAATGTTGACAGGTTTTTATTCAGACACCTGGCATCCATTAAATCAAATAGTGTTTTTTTTTTTTTTTTTTTTTTTTTGGGGGGGGGGGCTCTTACCATTTGTCGATTGGGGCGCTATTCCAAACCTAAAATTATATACACACTACACTAATAATATTTGGTGCTTTTCAGGGCTTTACATGCGCAAAATGCACAAAATGGCACCCGTAACGGAAAGTGCTGGTGGAAAAAAGGGATTTGAATGGAAAATGGAAGTGTTTTATTAAATACCCCCTTACCCACCGCTGGCTACGCCTACAGGTTGAAGACCAGCATATAACTGACTGCCTATCAGTTTAAGTTAGATGTCAGTGATAAGTACTTCCACTTCTTGAAATAAGGGGGAAAAAATCCTGCAATGTGTTTTAGATACCCATCAAATTAAAGCTGATTTCATCACATTTTTTTCTGCTCGTGGTTAATCTCATGAATTTTAGGAGAAATTCAATCCAAAGATGATCAACCCTAAAAGAAGTAGTGCAGCCCGTTGCTATTAAACACAATGATGCCTATTTACTCTCCATTGCAAAATAGAACAAGTTTATTGCCACTTTCAGCCAAGTTTCACAGAAATGCAACATCGTAATCCTAATGAAGGCTTCCATTCTGTTTTGTTTTGCGTTGTTTTTTTGTGTCTTGGGTATTTTTGTGTGTGCGTGTGTGTGTGTTATTTTTTTTTACATGCCCTTGAGTATATGGCAAACAAAATGCTCTAATAGCACAAATGTTGAGATGCATACAAATTGTGACTGGCTGGCGTAGGCAAAGTTTGGCCTATTTATGGTCTGCACACCCAGTTAAAACATACATGTATAGGGTTACAGCTCAGATGCCAAGACTGCATCATTCAACATTTCACAAACCTATACAGCCCATAAGTTGCCTTTGGAATGCTAACAAGCCTTGCAAGCCGCGATAGATATGACCTTATGAGGCTCTGGCCAGGCTAGGTGAATAAACTTTGGGATTACAATGACCCATCAGATGTTACATGTCCCTGATCTCTATGATGCGATAGCTATTATAGTAGAGATCAGTGGTTTGTACACATCAGGGTGGTAAATGCCACATTAATATGCACTGTTTTTAAGAAAGTGACTGCGCAGAGGAAGTGATCTATCCCCTATTGAATTCAGTGACGGTACGTTCTTAAAAGTCATGGACGTTATGAGGTCAAGTTGTGTGCAAGGGTGAAGGAACATTTAAATGTTAATTAGTTTGGATCAAATGGAGCCAGCGACCCTCACGATGACTTGTCTAATCTTGTTTTCAGAGGTTCTTGGTCCAAATAGATGCGTACACCACTTAATATTTGTAGGCTCTACATCTTGAAAATTACTTAGTTAAACATATTAAAACAAAATTTCTATTACGACACAAGCTATTTTTGTATTTTTTTTAATTAAGGGCTAGCTTTATCACCTTTTCCAGCCCAATTTAATATGTTTTTTATCATAGACTTATCATGACAACTAAAGTAGAACCTAATATTTGTGCTAAAATATATTCAATTTATTTCTTTGTCGGGGTTAAGTCTATGTGTATATTGGCGTTTAGAAATTATATTTTATTATTACTTATATCAATGAAAGGTAACTGTGCTTAATGCGAGTTTCCCAATGTTATGACATCTCTTTTACAGGACATTCATTGTTTTATTTTTTTTTATAATGAAGAATCCCAGCAACTCTAAGAAGTGAGGATGTTTTTACATGCACTTGTATCTATACTGCACCTGCACAACTGCACAACTTGAGTCACCTCGACTTCTCCTTGGACCCACAACACTGTATTGTTGGGAGTCTAAATATCAAGCATCGAGCATTGATAGACGGGTGTTTAGGTAATAACACTCACATTAAAGAAGTGTGCGTCATTCATAACGTAAGCTCTGCAGAAAGAAAAAAAAACACACTGGATTGAATCGAGATATATTAGTATCATAGTTTTTTTTAAAGGATTCACCATCGACTGGTTCAGGTGGTTTGAGTCTCAAGGTAGTGGAAGTATGCCGTTCCTGTTTATTGGACCACACTGTATAGCATATCACACATGACATTGAGATGTTGGTGAATTGTTTTCGTTTTGCTGAAAGAACGCACGTTTTCTTTGTGATCACGGAGAGAACTTCAAAAAGGTGTTGTGTTTAAAATAATGTACTTGAGTGTTTTGAATTATTTTTGTAATAAAAGTAAGCGTATTAATTTGGGTTCCGTATCCTCAATTTTTAAAATTGCTACGTGCACAACTGTATACTAAAACAATAGTTGCGACATTTGGGTTTCATTTTTGTTTTTACTCATCCTGTGTTGTATATCGATTAGATATAGACTAAATATGTGCATACATGTATTTAGCATAATGTATATCCAATGCATAGCTTGTGTAAGTTTTTAACAGCGATAATCGCATCGGTTAAGTATAGCCAGAAATATGATTTTCAGAGCTTTACTGAAGGATATTATTGTACCTACTAACCTGGAATAAATTGATTCCGTTTTTGTTTAACAAACTGATGTTCCTTAGTACTTCAGTAGTTTAGCAAAAATGCGAGTAAGAGTGGTAATGCATGGCATTAAAGGATTATTACATCCTGAAATAACCGAAACTGTATGTTTTGATATTGTTTTCTTATCCTATTTCAAAGGTCTGATTGAAAGGAAACTAACCTCATGTCTTATAAACGTTACCGTTCCCGGGAAAAGACGGAAACTAAACCCGGTTGCTTACACCGGACGCGGCGGACATACGCATACATATTTCAAGCCATTTCCATTCAATGTACGATACACGTTTAGCTCAGCTGGGCTGGACGACGTCTTCATTGCATTACGCACGTATGTTTCAGCCGCTCATTTAGTTTGCGCGCATGCGCACTCAAAATATGCAATACTGATAATCAGCAAACATGGATGCCTGCAGTCGCAGTTTGACCCACTGAAGTATCGGTCAACATCACGCTCGAAGTACTTTGATATTTTTTTCTTTCCACGTGGACAGGAATTTAAGGCAATCAAAGTCTATTTTGCAAACCTTAGCGCTAAAAAACAGAGAGTATTTGATGCATTTTTTTTTGTTTTTCTGTGTCGTGTAGTACGAAAGTATTGGGTCACAAATTCAAACAGGCAACGATTTAGGGGATAATTTTTCAGTTTTGCCGAGTACTTGTAAACTTGTCTTCACTGAAACAAGGTAAAGGATGCCACGGAAAGTGCGATGTATAAATATCATTTAAGTCGGAAATCGTTTCAATGAGAAAAGTAAAGTCTCACGTTACACGTTTTTTTTCGTCGAATGTAACGTTAGTGTGGACGTACCTGTACACAGATCCTGGAATCTGGCCCGTAAACATGGCTAGCCATCACGCGCCACGCGCCGTGGCGCTCCATTTGTAATCTTTCGACGCGTTGGAAATGTATACATTTAACTGAAACGATTTACAACTGACTGGTTCCCGGCCCTGAAATGCAGTTAAGTACAATCACAGAGGGCACTGGGACCAGTGTATTTGTGCACGAAGCTTTCAAAATGGGTTTACTCGAAAAATGACGATTTTTATAAGCTACAGGTTTCCTTCTTACATCAAATCACCTGTAAAATGAAAATAATCTATCATCCCTTCCGATTGTACTACGGCTGATCTAAGATAAACCCGGCAAATTGTCCAAATTTGTAAACCAAACTCAAAAGCGAACGATGTTTTTTCTTTTCATTTTGTACGTTTTTTGTCAATAATTATTGTTTTTGTTAATATTTCAAAAGGTTTTTAGCGTCGTTACCACACTGTAGAGACAATTTATATCTTTCTTCACTTGGTCTACTGATAATTTTTTGTTTGAATCATCTTTTAAGTGCGTTTGAGAAGGATACATTTTAAGACGTAAAAACCAGACATTCGTTCAGTACGTCGTCTGCTACCGCTGTTTGCAAGCCGACGACGCGGAGGAAACCATTGCGCATGCGTGAAAAGACAACTAAATGCACGCACAGTCTATTGGACTGAAACATACGTGTACGACTACGGCTAATTAACGTCCAGGATGCGAATTCTCTACGCGTAATACCGTTCAAAACGTTATAGTGGACCAGCCAAAGTGGAAGGTTACACTTTGTACAGCATATTTTGTTAATAGCTGACAACCATGTCAGATCAACCAGTCAAAGGATGGAGAAGAACATTTAGGTGGATGCCACCCTTAATTTTGACCCAAATAAACCTAATTTGCATAAACTGTTTATCTCTGCCTTATAAAATATTTATTCACATATTTGTGTATATTGTTATATTTATTTTCTGAAAAGTTTAATTTGGTGATTCTACTTACACACCCTTAATTAAACATTTTCTTCAGCATATAAGTGACTGAATAATCATGAGGACATATAACGATCCAAAATGGCTACTATATTGTACCCAAACATTGCGCGCATTTACCTTGTCTCCAGATAAGTATAAATGAGCTTCAATTTACTAAGTTGCTTACCTGCACAGTTGCCTTATTAAAACCTAATGGAAAGTGACGCGAGCAATGATAACATTGTGATGTTTAGCTCAGCAAATAAAAACGGGGAAATACGATCTGGCTGTCCGTAAACTGGGCTTACATCAGGCGACGGGTCGCCTAACGTGGGAGATTTGAATATGTTATCGTTGTCCGTTTAAAAAAAAAGCCCATTTAAAAAAGTTCATCAAAAATTGTGTTTCTGCATGTAATCCGTAATTTAAGTTTTGTATCTGCTGCAAAAGTGTTGGGGCTTATTTTGCTATTTTTTTTTCCAAATGGACGCCCCGCCCACAAAAAGGTCAGAGTAAAATCGGTATTCAATTGTATTTACATTTTTCATTTTGGCCAACTCCCCCCCCCCCCCCCCACCGCCCGAAAACAATATCTGGGGTAGAAAAAAATGGATTTGGGTTTTAAAGTATTTCTTTAATAATACCTGAAGTTTTCAAAGAATGTACCCAATATTGCATACGAAAGTTGATTTTTGACCATAAGTCAACTGATTATTCATGTTAAAACCCATACAGAAACTTTCAGCGCACTACAGCTATTAAGTTCCTCCCGGAAAAAAGTACGAAGTATATCGGTTGCCTGTTTTGGTTTGGAGGTTTATTCCAGAAATACTAGAACACTGAAAGATTACTTGCGTTGCACCTGTTACGAGGCATGCCAATACAACCTGTTTGCTGACAGATTACTCCGGTTATTTTGCTGCAATAGAATGAACAAGTGTGCAGCAGCTTTAACGTGGCCTCCGTTCATTGCGGACAATGTTCAATTTGTATAGTTGAAGTGCAAAAGAAGTGCGTAGTGATGTGAGGTGCTGATGATCTTTTTTTTCCTTTAAAAAGCCAGCCCCCAGCCCTCCTTCGCATGATGCGCCTCTGGCATCGCCTGAACGTGCAAGAAGTATATGTCATAAAGTGCTTTGATAAGCATGCATATGTACACCATTTACATGCATTGAATACAATCATAGTTCTATTTCCGTTTTCAAGTCTAGGCTAGAAATTCGAGTGTGCAGAACCTTAATATTACAAACTTCTGATATTTCCCAGCATGCAACTTTAATGCGAACCCGCGCGCAAGCCAATCAGAATAGACTTTAGAATTTTAGAATGGAACATGTGGACAAAGCTGTTGAATGGTCAATTCGGTTGAGCTGTTAAAAACAACAAAGGATTACGGACGACTAGATAGAGGGCGCCCACTGTGTGATTTGAATCTAGAGGTCTAGTTTTGTTTTGCATAATGAATAATCGGCGTATCTACGCGCTTAACACAGACGTTTGTGTGCAGTAAACGGCTATTCCACCGGCTGTTCAACTAAGTCGAACTAGGCAAAGGTGAAAATAAAAATTAATTACCGAGTCTTGCTATTTTATAGCATGGTGACAAGATTTCCGTAGTGTGAACTTTTTACTAAATTCGTCAGCGTTTTCACGAAGTGGCGAATCCATCGAAAAACCCATTTCTTTTTTTTTTGGGGGGGGGGTTGGGTAATTTCGGTTTTTGTGCAATTTTGACTTAACTCTGTGTCCTTAACCTTGCTGCAAAGTTTTAAGACCGTGTCAAGAAAATGTTTAATTAATTAGCTACGCTAATTGCATATTGTGGCAAATCCGTTGCCCTCTGGAATTTGCGTTTTCACGAAGCGGCGTATCCCTGATTCGCCACTTCGTGAAAACGCGACGCACAAAGATTGCGTTTCCTCAAGAGGCGAATAACCTTTATCTCAGGGCTGCGTTGTTGTTGTCAAGTCGTAACGTATACGAAACTATTTCATTCTCACCGCGCCATTCATTATCATGCGACGGGCTGTTCAGGTGAATCGGTTATGTGTCTATCAAATGTACCAGATGTACCAGAATGTACCCGAACAAAATGTACCAGAAAAGGGCCAGTTCTGTTTGACCTGTACTGCCCCAATGATGGAATTTTGAACTGGCTGGCCATTGGCCCGTTTAAGGCTTGCACAGCGGCGCGGAACTGGGCCACTACATGATACCAGAATAAAACCTGTACTGGACTGATTCTGGGCGAATGTTTAATGCATGATCGGTCCAGTGAGACGGCATTGATCCAGAACTGGGCCAGCATAGTTCCAGAAAAGGGCCAGTTCTGTTTGACCTGTACTGGCCCAATGCTGGCGTTTTGAATTGGCTGGCCATTGGCCCTTTTAACCCTAAAGGGGCCGGGGGGGGGGCGGAATCCGCCCCCCCCCTCAACATTTTTAGCGATAGCCTTTAAAAACAAAATTTCGCGACCCGAGCTGTTATGACTTTTTAGCCTCGAGCTTTGCGCATCTTTTGATACCAAAAACATAAAAATCGGACCACGGGTTGGCACGTAGCGAAAATTTTCCGGCGCTACGCGCCCTGAAAACTGAATTTTCCCATATACGTCGTGTACACCGAGCAGAATTGCCATTCATACATATGAATAATTAATTAGCCATAATTCCTAAACCGTTTGACTTATATTCATGAAATTTCTTGGGCATGTTGAGGAAGAGTTGCTCTATGCATGTGCTGAGTTTCAAAATTTTTCGGTACTCGATGGCCGAGATCTTAGGGGGGGGGTGCGGAATCCCCCCCCCCCCGGCTGAGAGATGGTCAAAATAACACGGCCCCTATAGGGTTAATGCTTGGACAGCGGCGCGGAACTGGGCCAGTTCATTGTATACAAGAATAAAACTTGTACTGGACCGATTATGCGCCGATACATAGGCCATAATCGGTCCAGTACTGAGACGGCATTGATCTGGGCCAACAAAGTTCCAGAAATGGGCCAGTTTTGTTTGACTTGTACCGGCCCAATGCTGGCGTTTCAAATTGGCCCGGGTAAAGCTTGCACAGCGGCGCTGAACCGGACCAGTGCATGATGCAATAACCGAACCAAAAGAAAATCATTACTGCACTAATTCTGGGCCGGAATGATGCAGGAATCGGTCCAGTACTGAGCCAGCATTGATCCAGAACTCTGCCAGTATGATAGGAAAACAGGGCCAGAAGTAGATCAGTTCTGTTTCGGCTTTACTTCCAGAATTGGCCCATTACTGACTTGTCCGGTACATGTTGCATGTGATACAAGGGAGAAATGGTTAGTCCAAAAGAAATTAACAATATTTACACATTATATTTCAAAACACACAACACGTTTATTGCATTCCCCATCCAATATTCTTCATACAAAATGTATTTCTCATCATAGATACAGCTCAATTACATAAAAGTTGCTTCACGCAGTGCGAGAAAAATTACGAAATTATGAGGCTTTCTTATTTTATGTAGAATACTGAATCTTTCAGTCTTAATGGTGACTATAGGTTAAATGGTAACATTTTCAGCAAAGTGCCTTTGGTGTTTAACTTGTTAAACAAAATGATGTCGTCCACTTAAATATGGCCATTTTAATACCGAAGTTAATGTGGGGAGCTGGGTTTGCGACTTGAAGAAAGACTATTTATTTAGAACGAGGGACATGCACTTTTCCTGCTGTTCCAGGCTAATAGCCCGTGGTAGTGATTCCTCTGCGGCTCTTCTCTTCTTACGGTACTGGTACCCCGTGAAATGAAACAGACACCGTGAATATTTGGATTTATTATATAGGTTGGTTTATTCTTTGAATTCATATGATTTGCCGTCGACATTATTTAGAAAACTACTTAATGTAAGCTGACTTCGTAGTTATTCAGAGGGGGATGTAACCGGAATGACGAAACAGCCCATGTGGTCTGATACGCGCGCTGGCGCAGCAATGCATTTGTGCGGCCTTTTTGCTGTTATCGCCTTGGCGTGGAGCACAGATCTCACAATTGTCGCTCTAGAAAGTCTCCGGAGTTTCACAAGCAGCTTACTGTTCGAGCTATATTTTCTCGACAGGACTCGTTCAGCCAGCCTGCCATTGCAGGGTGAGTTATTTACTGATTGTGCCCACTCCTTGCACGTTATTTCGTGGTGCAAAAACTGTTCTAATGTGTTCAAGTTTTGACAAGTTGGCAATGAGTGCTGTGGACTTTCGTGCATGTACACATGTGCACATGCACTGTCGAGCTCACTGCGTGGTACTTTCGGTGTGCATTACATGTACATGTACATAAACTATGAATTACGTTGTGTACATGTATGCCTTTGCTTTAGGCGCTGAGTGACTGCTGTTGCGGAGCGAGTATTTACAGGCGCTTGAGTTCTTCCCCCGTGGGCTGCACCGCTCTTTGCATAATACTCTACCAGTGACTTGTAGTCTGGGTAAGAGCCTTAATAGATTCTCAAGTTGAGTAAATGATATTTTTCTTTGGTAATATATTAATGTTAAATTATAAAGTGCCAATTTATTTTCCAGAATGATGAACATGTATGTTTTATTTGTTTACTCTGGTTTTTGTAGGGTCTTTTATTGCATCTTTAATTGGACCTTTTATCGAGTTGGAGAAATAAATCAGCATTGATTCCAAGTCTACTCTACTCTTGTGAGTTCTTTATCCTCAAAACTGAGGGTCTTGCCTGGACCCTGATTCCAGAGTCAGGGATATCCTCACATTAAGTTACTTGTTTTGTGATTTGAACAGATGCACGTAACTGCTTAAAAAAATGAATGGACAAGTGCCAGTATGTTTTTGTTTTACAAAATAAGTACATCATTTTAAAGTAGATAATCAACTCAGGAAACAATTCATGCTTTATATGTGTATATATTTATCAAGTATTCACATTGATTTGGTTTGTCGTAGAGGGCCATCACTTGCCCGTTTTAGGCTCTGTACAGTCTTGCCATTATGGTTGGCCGTAAGAGAATCGGCACTGGCCCGATTCAGGCTTTGCATTGTTTTACCGCTATGGTTTGCGTAATCCGCTCCGTTCACAAGTACCCCCTCAACGGCAAAGGAAGTACAGTTGGGGGTGCGCGGCCACTGCGTGTACATGGAACAAATCCCCTGGTGTACGCGCGTCACACACAAGGAACGGTGCGCGTCAACCAGCGAAATGTACCGCCCATGGGACGTCGTTGCTAGGTTAAAGGGCGCCCTCTTTACGTAGCCCACGGAGCTCATACACGGCCGTTTCAATCCAATAGACTTAACGTAATTAACTTGAGCAATTTTGTCCGCACAGCGTTTGTTTACTCCAGTGTTTCAAAGTGATGACGTCATGCAATTTTGGAAATCCAAGATGGCGTCCTAAATTTTTACGAAAACAAAACACGAAAAACATGCCCCAAACTTGCCCCTAAATCATGACTCAAACAATGTCTTATGGTGCCACACTATAATTCTGACAGATAAAGTGAGTTTCCACACATCGGGAGATTGAGCTGGCCCATAAAGTTCAAATTACCTGTAAAAATCAGGTTTGATTACGCTTCGTGCGTAAGGTTTTCTGTCGCTGTTTGTTTCGGAAGTTGTTAAAAATCCCCGACGAAAATCCCGTTTTATTATTGATACCAAGTTTTCCCCAAATATTCCATGGTCACTACTTGTAAATAAGGACCATCTTGAATGACTCATGAAGTTTCATTCGAAGGCCAGCGGTAGATTTTTTTTTAGAACCGTTAAAATACAGCCACTTTTCACGAACACCGCGAGGTATACACGCACATCACACGGCGCAATAGCTGTAGAGCGTGAACGCACGCACACACCACCGGGGCACGCGCGGCGTTAACACGGCGTTGTTGCACTGCCCTGCCCGCTGAACTGCAGCCGGCAGCGAAACCGTGCGCTGAGAGTCACAGGCCGGTGGTTTGTGGGGGAAATATTCAGCAGAACTCCGGCCAGATCATGCATGTTAAGAATACAAATAATTTCGTACGAACACCAATAATATTAAGCAGGATGAGCTTTCTACATCAGACTCCTGTAGGTCAGACGGCCTTATGATTATATGAACAAATGTAATGCTCCAAGTTTGCTAGGAATTGTTTAAAAATTTCATAAAAGAAACAATATCCTGCCCCTATTTGCACAGCAATATTCATGAAGTTAAACCACTACGGGTGCAACACTTATCAATTCAAACATTTTTCATTAACCCTACCTCCCTGTGTGTGTGTGTGTGTGGGGGGGGGGGGGGTGGGTATCGTATTAAATTTCCAGGATTCAGGACCGTTCGGGCTATTTAATAGGAAAACTCGAGCAAATGCAGTCCTGCATATGTCCACAAGTGTCCAGATTAGCTTAATCCAAACCTCGAAAACTTCGAGAACCTCCCCTGTTCAGTAGTGTTTTGCTTCGGATCGGGTCCACTATAGGCAAAACCAATGCGAAACATTATAGATATAATCCAAATCCCGCGCTGTGTTAATTTCCAAACTGTTTCCATCTTTTTTCCCCGTTTATTTCGGGTTTTGAATTGACCCGATCCGACCTGATCCGCAAATTTTCAAACACAAAACTGACCAACTCAACTGAAATGACGGACAAACCGACCCGACCAAACACAAAGTTGGTTTTTGGTTGAGTCGGTTACAGTTTAGAGTTGGGTCAGCACAACACTTCTGTCCAGAACCCTTCCAAGAAGCAAAAGTAACCAGCAAGGTTGCTGAAATCCATGGCCACATGACATCACACAGGCAGCATATATAGAGATTGCCGCATTCCCCCAGAGATAGTAGAGGCTGCAGCCAATCATTGCATGTGGCACAAGCAAAGGCAGACTCCAATTGAATATTATATTTAAAAACTGGCAGGGTAATATTTATATTATACTTTATTTCATTATCTAAGTTGGCGGCCAATTTAGTGAAATCCATTGGTCTCCCATTGGTCACAGTACACCTAAAAAAGCAATCCACATACACGTAAAAGTCTCATCTGTTTTAAAGTATGGAAAAGAAGGCCAACTTAAAACTTGTCATTAAGTAGTCTATTTACTTACTTTAAAAAAAGCACCGATAAAAATATATAATTTAATAATAGCATTTTAGTACTGTCGACAATTAGTTGATTTTCAGTGTAAGTTAATATCCAGCTGTATTTCAATTCATAATTTTGGCACTTAGGAGTGTCGTTCGCAGTAGTCCTTGAAGAATTCCTACCGGTGTAAACAAATTAGACTAGGTCACAATTCTGCCCTTATGTACAAAATCACAATGATAATGTAAGCATGGATCCAGCCCATTCAAAATGGCAACAATGTTGTCACTAATGCAGTTTCAGTAGAGACATGACCATTTTGCCTACTGTTAATGGTTCATGTACGAGTCAGTTTTGCGATAGCCATGCACGAGAAATCAGAATGTAAATATTTTCTAAAAAACAAAATTGTACTGCACATGTGCAGAGGTGATCCAATCAATGACCATAAATGGGCATTAAAATGTAAACATGTCCGATATTATGGGAGCGAGAACCAGTCCATCGCGAGTGATCATGTGTGACGTGTGAATCTTGAGCTTAAATTCCAGAGTGATTCCTTGGCAAGCAGACAACAGAAGTTCTTAATGTGTCGGATCAAGGCGGTGCATGGTTTGTTCAAATCTAGCAGTGCACATGGCATCACACAGTTTGGCACACATTCAGTTTATACCAAAAATACACCCAACACATGCTCATGTCTGTGTTATCCTGATCCTCCATGCACAAATGTGGGATGAAAGATTCACTTCCACTGTACGGCTCATCACAACGAGTCAACGGCTCATCACACCACCATCTCACCAGAGCTCCAGAAAATATGAGAAACCCCCTTGTCAGGAGAATGATACTGCAAACTTCCTGAAAAATCATAACAAAATGCTTTAATTTCAGAAAACAGGATCACATGTTATACAATTGCTTTTTTTAGGGGGTGGGGCATGGGAGAAATGTTTCCATACATTCAAAGCTCTACATGTACCGCCAACACTAAAGCAGTGGTTCATGTCACATGTACATGATGTATCATGACACCATTTAACAATATTTATATTACTTTATCGGGGGGGGGGGGTGCACACTGCACAATAAGGCCTGTGCAAAGTCTAAAATGGCTGAAAAAAATTGGGAAGGTTGGTGATCTAGAAAAAAGAGATCCATTTCTGGCATTTGTATGGAACAGGATCACACAGAAACAAAACTCCTCAATTTAGAATTGCCAATTGTTTCATGTCCCCATGAAGCTGAGGCACTAATGTGTTTACATGAAAATTGATTGACATTTGGCTAAGCGTTCAGGCTTTGCATATTTCTTCAGAAGAAATATGCAAAACCTGAAATAAATTCAACGTCAGACATGCCAGAATAAGTTTTGCGAACACGAAAGGCGGCATGCACAATAAAAAAGATTAGTCCGACATAACTACTTTCATCCTGTTCATTACTGTCAGAATCAAAATGTTATGAAATGTTCATTTTTTTTTTGGGGGGGGGCATTTTTTTCTCTCTGTTGTCATGACCTGTTCGTATTGTTTTTATTAATTTTATACTGAATCATGCACAAAACTTTTTTTTTACCTTCCAATTCAGGCCTAGTTGATCATGATGATTTAATTTATGTATGGAAATCTTTCCCATGTATAACAAAGTTGTAGCACAATACACGACATGTCATGTACATGTGCATCACGCCAATGGAGGATCTCCGTCCACACATGCACGAACCTAGGTACGGGTTATATCCGCACGCGTGCCCGTACAAAAACATGAACACGCAAACGGTCGAGTTGTCTCTAAAGCACCATGCGCTTGGGCAATGCGTGATACACACGCGCGAACCATGCACGCTTTACAACCAACTCGACCGTTTGGCATTCCGCGCACAAACGAAAATATGTCACTTTTTGCACCTAAATATCAACAAATCTACCGCTGGCCTTACCTTCAAACCGGACACATATGCAGCCATATCTCCAAAACAAAGTTGATGTGGGCCTTACATCGGGGAAAACCTCTTGTTTGGAGAAAAACACCTTTCAATGTGACAAATTTGTCACATGACCGCACACCGCGATAATCAGCTCAGTCGAACACCAGTTTTGACGGACGCCGTTTTCAGTAATTTAATATTCATGAGCTGATATTCATATATGGAAATTAGGGGAAAAAAACAAACTTTTGAATAAGAAACATTTTGAACTTTGACCGATTAATCTACCAATGACGTTCCAAATATTCCCAGATATAAATATTCATGATATGAAACTTGCTTGGCCCGACCCACGAAGCGTGTCGGTGACGTCATTTTACAGAGATTTTTGATTGGCGCGATTAGAACCACAGAGGGCGCCATTATTTTGCGCTGGAACAGCCGTGCATAGCGCCAGCACCGGACCAATTCTGGCTCCTTACTTTTAACACGGAACCGCATTGCCGCAATCAAGCCAACAACGTTCCGCTTCCGGTTTTGTACGATTGATTGGATTTAAACTGTACAATACTGCTAGAACAAGCCCATAACAGGCCGATATCAGCCCAGTACCGTTATGTTTGCTGGGTAGGCCTACTTTTAAGTTTACTTGTGTGGGGAAAACAGTCAAAATCCCAGTATTTAAGAATTGAACATAGTCCACCCCTTGATCATCTTGCTTCAGAAGTACCGTAGTTATGGT